ATTTTGCCGAGATATTTCATCCTTGTTTTGTTTGTATGTTAGCGTGAGATCAAAGAGGTGTATGTTGCCATGTATGTGTATGTTGACAAGGATAAATTTTGATGATTTTCGAAGTGCTGCTGAAAGGAATTACATGTTCTTTCCTTTTATTTCTTAGTTCCATTTGGTTTGTGAGGTTGGTAGGATGTATGGCATGCTATAGCATGATGGAGATGATATGTGACATGGATAAAAAAGGCACGTGGAGCTGGCCAAAGTAAAGCTCGTAAGGCCCCCAACTAACTTGAGATTTCTCTTTTTTCAGATCTTTTGTTTTGTAATATTGATGAAACTATTTTTTTTTGTAATTTTGTAGAAAATGCATATAATGGCAAAATGTTATATTTAAAGACATATGATATTTATTTTAATTTTGAAAATTTTCCTTATCCAATTATAAGCTAAAACAAAATGGACCAATAATCGACTAAAGAATAAATTAAATTAACATAGATTTGAAACAAAAATTAAAAAAGCAACCAGTCATAAAAGGTCAAAGTCCAAAGTCAACCTTTTGACTTTGACTTCTCTTAAACTAAAATAGTGGTAATGCAACATAAGAAACAATAATGCTAACGAGGAGATCCAACCAAAAGTCATAAAACTTTTAATTCCACACTTGACCATTGATTATAATCCAATAAGATGCAAATGAATGATAATGATAAAGATATGCATTTATCAGTATAATAACACACTGACCTATAACTAAATGTTTGACCATAGTGAACTCATGCAGATTAATTTTAATTAATGAAAAGAAAAATGTATGACCAAATGCAATGGTCATGTTAGTGCAGATGAAAATAAACCAAGCAATATAATGAATCAATATGATAAAATTGGGGTATAACACTTTGCATTTGCAATATTTCTCATATCAACAAATTATTTATTGAAATTCCATAGAATATTGCAGAATATTTATCTTGTCCAGGGAACCGCAAAGGAAGCGTATGTTGTTCCTCTTCAATCCCTTCCTTGATTGACTGCATAACTGAGGATTATTGATTTGGAAATGTCTATCAATTTGGTTTCCCTTTGTAACAATATGCATCTTGGTAGGCGTTAGGCGTGGTCCTCCTCTCTGGATGACCAACACTTACACTCGTCTTTAGGATGTCTCTTCCACGTACCTTTGTTCGAGGGGTGTTGTTGGGCGACCAATGTCTTTTTGGTTGGCTTACTTACTCATGAATATGGAAGTTAGGTCGCCTATAGATGAATGCTTTTGATTAACTCTTACATGCAATAGGATGAATTGTTTATCCCTTTATACACATTTGGTTTGGAACTAACATTGGTCTTTACAAATCTTCAAAAGTTTGGTCAATATGCTGTGTTCAAAAGGGAGGGTGAAATCTACCTCCACGGATCTAGCTTGACTAGCCTCAAACTGGATTACTTGAAAATTTCCAGCGAAGAAGTGATGACATTTTGGACGCGGCTTCTCCGATATGCCTTGTATATTTTCGGCCGACTTTGGTCACAACTAGTTTCTCTTTTCCGTTATGATAAGCTATTTTCAAGCGGACTAGTGAAGAAGGCTCTACTAAGGATATCATTGAAGATGTTTCTACACAAAATTATCAAGAAGCTAAGGGTCTCTCTCTCTCTCTCTCTCTCTCTCTCTCTCTCTCTCTCTCTCTCTCTATCTATCTATCTATCTATCTCTCTCTATCTATCTCTCCCTCCGTTCCTTTATTATCAACAAAGTCAAAATTGTTATTCCGCAATGGGCGAGTTACAAAATTGTTGAAGGGCAATAAATATATGTCATTGTATGTACTCAAGTTTAATTGACGATGATTAATTGTCGAACGTGTCAATGCGGGAGACATTACATAAACTCCACATCTACAAGAAATCTCAAAAGCGTTCAATCAACGACAATATCAATTATATATAATGGAAACTTTGTATTCGGGGCTCCATTTTTCTTCTCACGATCTAGGAATTTTATCTTTGTTCAATCTTCGCTTCACGATATATTACCATTTTTCGTCTAGAGAAGGTGCACCCGTGACGAATCTGTGCTGGATGTTCCCATGGTACGAATCTCATCGATGACCGATAAACGGTGTGCAACGGGATCATAAGATTGAATTGAACTATTTGTAGATGTATGAATTTGGATTAAGGATGACATATCAGTGGGATTTCATGGAAATTAGGAGTCAAATCCCATTGACAGTGCCACTGTTTTGTTCTGGAACCATAATTGGTGTTGATTGATGATGTAAGACTATATGATCGATGACGCCGATCTTCAGTACGGTGGCACGAGTGGACTTGTAAGGTTATTAATCTAACGTCAAAGTTAATTCAAAGTCCAAGAGGAGTATGGTAAAAATGGATATTAGGAAAGTGTATTTTGAATCCCACGTGTGCAAATTTTATACTTTGGATAATTTTGATTCGACATGCACTTGGCTGAACATTTGCATTCGGCGTTTGACGGGTCAAAATAATATCAATGACTAATAACCTCACATTTTTATAGTAATCACTTCAATCACTGGATCGATTAAATGTCACATTATACTAGAAATAAGATTAATTTTTGTTTAGGCTTTGAAAAACCCTGCGCCAATTTTCAAAAGCGACATTTTTGCAAAAATTAAACTATACTCTCTCCGTTCCGAAATAAGTGTGATATTTGATACTTTCACACATATTAAGAAAAAAAATGATAAATAAAAAAAAAGAAATAATAATTTTTATCAAATTATCCTTATTAGTTATTGGTGTATTATAATTATTATTAATAGAGTGTGAGATAAATAGTAAATTTTGATTATTAATGAGAGAATGTAATTAAAAGATAAAAACTAAAATTGTATTAGAAACTAAAAATGATACTTATTTTAGGATAAATAACTTTTTATAATTAAAGTTGATTCTTTTTTTTCGGTGCATTAAATACATATATATATATATATATATATATATATATATATATATATATATATATATATATATATATATATATATATATATATATATATATATATATATATATATATATATATATATATATATATATATATATTTAAAAAAAGAATATGTCTTTTTAATCTCTTAAATAATATTCAATTTATTATTTTAATCTCTTAACTAATATTTCTCAGACACTCACTAGCATTTTCATTATTATTATTATTATTATTATTATTATTATTATTATTATTATTATTATTATTATAAATAAATAAATAATTAATGAAATTAAAAATTCAAAATCAATATTATAAATAAGGTTTTAAAACCTGAATTTTGAGGTTTTTTATTTATAAATTACACCACCAAAGGTTGAGTATAGTATAAAATATTATTCTCCTATATTAATTAAAATTAAATTAAGCTCAATTTTTCTAATTTAATAAAAATAATATTAGATGAAAAAAAATACTATCATACTCTATTCAAGTTGTATATAAACTTCAATTAAAGTCAAACAAATCAAATTATTATGATAAAATATAAATATTCATGCAAGATTGTTTATTTTTTTTCATTTTATGCAAGATTATTATGTCCAACAAATTTTTTTACTTTATATCCTATCATTTATTCCCCTACCCTTACATTATATATTTTTTTACTAAAATATTCTCATATAAATAAGTGTAAATTTTTTTTACTATAATTATTTGATCCAAAATTTAATAAATAAATCTATCTTTAAAAGTTACTATTTATTAATATTTTCAGTAAACATGACAAGTATTATCTATGTCTATTATATAATTTTATAATGTCTCCATCAAAGATTTACCGCTAAAATTTCTTTTCTTTAATTAATTAACTAATGAGATATAAATTTGATTAGTGAGAAGATAATTTTGTGAAAAAAATAGAATAAAGTTATGAAATTAGTGAGGGTTATAAAGAACTTTAACTATTTTATGAATTATATTTATTAATTTATTTTTGTATTAAGTAATTTTAAGATTTGCATTATATGTCTAATTTATTTATTTATTTTTTTAATTTAATATTACTATATGTCCTATTATTGTGGGGTTAGAGAGATGTTATGAATGGAGAGATATTAATTGTTTGTATGATATAAATAGAGAGGGTTGAGTGGAGAGAAATTTGAGAAATAAACATGTTAAATATTTTAATTTTATTATTATTTAATTAATAATAATAATATTTAATTATTAATAATAAAATATTAATTAATAGACTGAAGAGAAAAGTTATGTTCAGTAGTAGTTACTATGATAAATATATTATTGGTAGGTGACTGCATTTTTAAAAAAATTCAGGACGTGTCTTATTGCATTTATTAATTAATAATTATTTAAAATATAAGAATGTGATTTAGTCGGAAGTTTTAAATGATAGAGTTAATAATAAATATATTTATATTTAATTAATTAATTAAAGAAAAAAAATTAGCGAAAAATCTTTGATGAAAACATTATAAGATTATATAATAGATATAGATAATACTTATCATGTTTGCTGAGAATATTAATAAAATAGTTTTTAAAGATAAATTTATTTATTAAATTCTGAATCAAATAATTAAATCAAGAAAATTTTACAATTATTTATATAAAAATATTTTGGTAAAAAAATAAATAATTTAAGGATAAGGAAATAAATAATGGAGTAGGTGGTAAAATTTTCTGTCCAACAACTTAAAAATGGGCCGCATCAAGAAGCCAGCCCATCAGGCCCAACGATGTTCGTGGGAACCAACGGGTCTTTTTGGCGGGAAGCAACGTCACATCATCACAGACGAGAAACCCGCACAATTTTCCCGCGAAAAAACCCTAATATATTAAATCCACACTCTTTTTTTCTGACAGTCATCGAATCTTCAGTTCAATTTCGCACAATTTTCACTCAATCTCATTCTCAGATCTGAAAGATTCGTCGATTCTTCGCTTTCTTTCATACAATTTCACACTATTTTCACTTAATTCATTCTCAGATCTGAAAGAATGAGAAATTCTTCAGAAACACCGTCTCCATCCTCGTTAAAAACCACATCGAAAAAGCCCCAACTTCGAAGCTCAAAAGCTCTATTCAAAGATCCCATTGATGAACTAAGTACGAAAACTCCAGAGAAGCTGCCACCGCGCACTCGCAACCGTGGCATTGCGCTGTCTTTATCGGATATTAGGAAGGTTACCAAGGGTCTTCATGATCAGGAACAACCCCGTGAGTCGATGCTGTCTAAGGGAAAAACTGCTAGAAGGCAAATCCCATTGGCTTCCCCGCGTAAGAGCAGTAAATCAGCTGATGAATTACTCAAGCTTCCTGAAAAGTAAGCATTTCAAATTTTTGAATCTAGGTTTTTTTTGGGAATAATTTGTTTTGTTGAATTGGTTTTAATTTGGGGTTTTGTGCAGATATGCAAATTTGGGTGAGTTTTTTGATAGCTTGGATAGTTCGATTCGATTGTTGCGAATGAAAGGATCTACAACTTCGTTCACTAATATCAGGCCAAAGATTGAAACTTTAACTGATAGGTATCGTTTAAGATTAGATTTAATTTTATTTTTTATTAATTAATATATTGCACTATGTTTTCTGAATTTAATTTTCTATTATTTGTTTAGGAGGTTTACACATGGTCATTTGGCTCAGTTGAAGTTTATCTTACCAGAGGTAATTGCTATCAAGAAGGTATTAGTGTTTGATGAAAGAATGAGTTGCATGAAGCCAGATCTTCATGTTTCAATAAGCCCTGATGCAGTAGAGGTTGATGCCAAGTTGTCATCTGAATCTGGGACTATGTCTCTAAGGAAGTTATTTCGTGCAAGGCTCAGAGATTTTTGCGAATCTCATCCCATGGTATGATAGTTTACACTTGCTTATCTATTTGATAGATTAATTATGAATACTTGTTAATAGGAGTATATCACTTGTGGCTTGATTCTCCCTTTATTTTCTGTGCTAAGTACAACTTTGTGTTATCAGTACAGTGAGTATCTAGTTTTGTATTATATTTGTGGAACAATATAAATTACATAGTACATTGCTTAGTGGTTCCCATTTATTATGTGAAGACTTGTTGGGTTTAAGGTGGTTGCTGTATTACAAAGTAATTTATGTACAATTTTTGTTTTCATTGTCTGTATAGCGAGATTTTAATGGTATGATACTTGCCATTGCAAAATTCATTTATTAAACATGCTTTAATGCTAATTCTGAGTTAAAGCCCAAGTCCGGGATACTTTGTTCGATAGTGCTGGAAGCTACTCGAAGTCTTAGGAATCATAAACATTTTTAATCAATCCCGTTTTCTTTTGTCGATGATCCATTGCTAATGTAGACACATTGTGTTAGTCCTGTTATATTTGCATATTATTTAGTCTAAATGATGCTTTTGTATATAGGTTGATGAAATTCCAGAGGAAATACTGCCGGAGCCATTCAGTCGCCCAAAACAAGAGCCCCTTTTTCCCATGTTTAAAGCTCCCTTAAAATTCTCTGCAGCGAAATTATCAAATAGTGATAATGCAATTGATACAGATCCTGATGTCTCAGTCCCCAATGAGACATCATTTGAAGCTATTAACCAGCAGCCAGCTCCTGCCTCTCATATGTCTCAATCTTTTAGAAGAAAGTTTTCTCAGAGAGTGAAGGAAAATGTCCACCCAAAATTTCCGTCAGATTCCTTTCAACCTTCAGCTGTCCCATTTTCAGATTCAAGCTTGAAGATAAATTCCACATCTGAGGTCTCTTTGTCTCATCAGAAAACATCCCAATCTGAGCTGGTTTCAGAAGCACCCAGCAGTGAAGCATGTCCTACAATTAACTGTTCTTCAATATGCTCCACACCATCTAGTGTTATCCCAGCTACACCTTGTAAGGCCATTGAGTGTACAGACGGCAAAGGTGGATCTGTCAAAAGCATTGAAGCTATGTCAACCCCATTGGGATATGTGTCAACTCCATCCAGGCTGATGTCAGCCACACCTGCCTTGAAGCCACCTAAAAGGCATTTAATGACCCCTGAAGGCAACTCTGCAATCTCACCAGACAAGTTGGTTAAGCGCCCACCTTCATCAAGGTCATTAAAATTTGACACTCCAATGAAAAAGGAAAATGATGCTAGCAGTCTATCAAGATCATTGAAATTTGACACTCCAATGAAAAATGAAAATGATGCTAGCAGTTTATCAAGATCTTTGAAATTTGACACTCCAGTGAAAAATGAAAATGATGCTAGTAGTTTGTCAACTGATAATGACATTTTCGATATCCTACCTGATACTCTTCTCCATTCGGTATGCCCATTATTGTTTTTATTATTGATGATATTATTCTTGAGTGAATTCCAGATTAACCATTCCTTCTGCAGATTAGGGAAAAAGAAAGAATGGCAATAGAGGAAAGGGATCCAGCTATTTCACAAGCTAAGAGACGCAAGAAAATAATTGCCAGTCTTCCCAAGCTCTTCAACATGATTCACATGATGTTTCATTCGCGAAACCGATCTGTTATCACAAAAGAGGAGCTGATAAACACATTAATCTCAAGCCACTGTGATATTGTTGATAGAAGTAAGACAATTTCTAAGAAGAATAATTGACTGGCTATTTTATAATTTTCTGCATACTAAACCTCTCCTGTTGTCTTAGGAGAAGTTGAAGAACAGTTCCATCTGTTGTTGGAATTAGTTCCTGAATGGATTTCTGAGAAATTGGCTTCCAGTGGAGATAAGCTGCTAGTCTCGTAAGTTCCTTTTACAAAAGTATATTCTGTCTTTAGAATTTACAATTTTAGCATTATACCCTCTTTATCCATTGTGTTGATACTATTATTGTGTGTTTATAGTGTAAATAAAATGTTGAGCCCTGAATCCATAAGAGCATCACTTGAAGAAGCAAAATGAACAAGGAGACACAATGGAGCCTAGAAGTATTTTGTTGACATTGGAACCTAGAAGTATACTGTTCTTTTCTTTTGGGCTGCTTGTACATATTCAGTTTATTTTCTTTTGACATTCCTTGTAGTTGGTTTGATCTATTGATTATATTTAGGAGAGGTTTGTTAGATCAACTCATCTTTTTTGGACAAATGGTGTAATCACAATACAATTAGACCGGGAATGTTTCTGGCTACTTTTGCAATAATAATTTGAGTTCTTTTTATAAAACACAGATGCAACCTGTGATTACACAATGGCATATTGAAATTGATGTGCAGAATTTGTTACCATAGACTTTGACTGGGCCATATTCTAAAGCACATCGAACATTGAAACTTAAGTTGTCACTAATTAATTGTTCTCCCCACAATTTTTGCTTTTGAAATTAAGAAGCTGACTATAAGTCCTTTTAATCTAAATCTAAACAGTTTTTGGAGTGAGAATAAGCAAGATGTTATCTTCCTACACATTCCTACAGTTATCCATAGCATAGTTAGACTGATTTAATTTATTCCTATAAATAATAGGTGCAACTTTCAACATATGATAATTGAGGTTCTATGCTTGATTCATTTGCCTGCCAATGTGTTTGAACGGTGAAGTCTATTTACCTGCCAATGTGAAGTTGCCCCAAAACAAAATATGCTAGCACAGCGACCAATAATGTTCCAAGGGGTCTAAACATGCTCACAAAGACTTGCGATAACCATCTAAAATGCTTTACTCACAGCGTATAAAATGCAGAAGAGTTCAAACCTTGATGTTATGAACCATGCTCTAGGTTTGTGTGGAAGGAATGCTGTAAAGACAGCAGATTGTGCTGCACCGATGCAATTTACCCATGCTGTTAGTGACAGTTGTGCTGGATATTTCTTCACAATGATTGTTTACAAGAAAGAATTTTTTACCCAAATACTTCGGTTTTTCAAAAAATTCTCAAAATAATCCACTTTTTAAATTATTTCTCAAAGTACTCTACTTTAAGACACTGATTGAGTGAAGGCGCCATACCAATTGGCAAAGAGCTGTCGCCAATTGAATTGGAGACACCGCACGGTGTTGTCAGTTCAATTGACACCACAGTATAAAGTCTTAAAGGATAATTTTTTAAACATAAATAAATAATCAAGGAGCATTAACACATTTTGTGTAATGTATAAGAAATTCAAACCTCACCTTCTAATGGTTCTTGTTCCAGGTGGCTTGTGTTTCTCTATTTCCTAGTAGAGGCTTCATTTAATAATGGAATGAACCCTCATGTCTTTGTTACTTATCGACATGCTGTTGGTGGAATAGTAGTGCTTCCTTTTACTTATTTTCTTGAAAGGTGAATCACTTATTCATCTTATTTAAGCACGTATAACATAAGCCTTTATCGTATAAGTGTTTATGCACGAGCTATTTCTATAACAAAAGATAAAATAAAATAATATTGTTTTCATGCGCTATCTAAAAAAGTTTATGAAAATAAACAAAGTTTTTGAACATATCGTAAATTGTTTTCATAAACTCTCTCAGACAATTCACGTGTGTTTTTGATCTCAAGATTGTTACAATCACGCAATGACAATGAAAAAAAAAAGGTTGAGAAAGAAAGAAAGAAAATAACGTTGGAGAAAAAGATGAATATTCTGCAGAGTTTCTCTCTGTCACAAATTGTGGAACCTTCTTTATTCACTTTGCAACTGCAAAACCGTGAATTCTGTTATGAGTTCTGTTTACAAAATAAAGGTTACTCCCTATTTATAGATTTAGGTTTGCTTGCACCCTAAGACAAAACGCAAAACTATAAAAGTCCAAAATAAATAACATTATTAAAATAGGGCTAAGTCGAAATCCTGTGTGAAGCAACCTGCTTCGTAACTTCGACGCACTAATACAACTCGATACACACACGCACATTAGGCTAATTCGACTAACACACACATTATGTTAATTCGACTAATCCTTATTTCTGTCGAGCTACACTGCTTCGACACAATAAATTGCAGTCTCAACACACCACCTAATTCATTGTGTCTAAGATATCTACATTCATCATGTCTCTTAGTCTTTTGAAGAATTCGACCTGCACTCCCTTTGTCATGATGTTTGCAATATGATAGTTGCAATCTCATTTTGATGTGCTTGCTTCGTCCACGTGCTATTGGATTCTTCGCCAGATTGATAGCTGATATGTTGTCGATCTTCATGGTAATTCCTCCATGATTCTTTGCTGCAATCTCTTCGATCAGGTTCATCATCCATGTTGCTTGACATACACAAAGAGAAACAACTATGTATTCTGCTTCGCATGACGACAATGCCACTACTGGATCCTTTCTCGAACTCCAAGCAACTGGTGCACCACCTAACATAAACACATATTCAACTGTGAATTTTCAATCCTCAACATCACTACACCAACTTGAGTTAGTGTATTCCACTAGCTTGTATTCTTTTCCTTCATCAGCTGCAGGAAATAAAATGTTGTAGTCGAGAGTTCATTTTAGATACCTTAGTATCCTCTTCCTCGCTGCTAGGTGTGATACATTTTGCTTCTGCATGAATCTACTTACCATACCCCTACTGTATGCTAAGTCAGGCTTTGTGTGACAAAGGTATCGAAGTGACCTAATAAGTCTTCTATATTGGGTTGGGTCGACATCATCTTCATCTTAATCTTTCGATAGTTGCAATCTGGTCTCAGCTGGAGTCAAAGTTGTATTGCAATCTTGCATCTCAAATCTCTTGAGTATTTCGCCTACATATCTTCTTTGGTGCATCATCAAACCTATACTACTCTTGTAGAATTGGATGCCAAGGAAATATGAAAGATTTCTCAAGTATGACATTTCAAACTCCTCACTTAGGTCATGTTTGAAATCTTTGATAAGCAATTCACTATTACTTCTCCTTACATATACTCCATGCTCACTCGTGCATTTCATAAATTTCTTCTCCCTTAGAAAGATGTCAATATTCTTATTCCAAGCTCTTGGAGTTTGCTTAAGTTCATATAGGGCTTTATACAACATGTACACCTTCCTTTCTTCGCCTTGTTTCACAAACCCAGCTGGTTGTGCAAGATAAACTTCTTCGTCTAAGGGGCCATCCAGGAATGCACATTTCACATTCATTTGATATGTGTGCCAATTGTTCATATTTTCTAGACCAACAACCAATCTGATTGTTTTGATCCTAGCAACAGGTGAAAAAACTTCGTTGAAGTCGATTCCTTCCTTCTGTAGAAATCCTTTCGCTACAAGTCTCGCCTTGTGTCGAGTTACCTTTCCTTTAGGATTCACTTTCACCGTGTAAACTCATTTCACATCAATTTCCTTCTTGCCTTGAGGAAATTCGACAAGTGACCAAATGTTGTTGACTTCGATGGAATCTAACTCCTCATTCATTGCTTTCACCCACTTCGAATCTTTCAATGCCTCAGTCGCATTGACTAGTTCAATATCTGCGTAGAAAGCATAGTGTACAAGCTCACCTTTTTCATCGACCATATCATCTGATGTAATCACACATTCTTGCAACCTTGTAGGCATGTGTCTTGTTCGTCGAGGTCTGCTTGGGCCTGCTTCACCTCTGACTTCTTCTTGCCGAACTTCTCTTTCGACTTCACTAGTTGGTTCTTCACATAAGATTCTCACTGAATCCTTCTTAACATTTTCAGTCAAATCCCATTCCTTAAGCCCATCTATGATCATGTCCCTGCTGATCACAACTTGCTTGTTCACTAGGTCGAACAACTTGTATCCTCCAGTCGAATGATATCCTATTAGGATCATTTGACTCGGCTTGACATCTAGTCAGGATGTATGTTGGTGTCGACACAACTTCTCCCCATAATTCTTTGGGTAGATACTTGCCTTTCAACATAGTTCTCACCATGTTCATGATGATTCTATTCTTCCTTTCTGTAGTTCCATTTTATTGTGGAGTGTAGGGTGACACCACCTCATGCACAATCCCTTCTTTTTCACATAATGCATCAAAATCTTTCGACACATACTCTATACCACCATCAGTCCTCAAAATATTTAGCTTTCGACCACTTTGTCTTTCGACCATAGATTTAAATTTGGAAAATACCTCGATTACTTCACTTTTTTTTCTTGATCAGGTAAGTCCACAACTTTCGACTGAAATCATCTATGAATGTGACAAAGTATTTGTTACCTCCAACCGAATCCACCTGGATAGGACCACATACATCAGAGTATATGACTTTGAGAATTGCCTTCGACTTGCTTCCCGCGTCCTTGCTGAAGTTATTCTTGTGTTGTTTCCCCTGAACACAGTCTTCACACACTTCATTTGGAATGTTGATTTCTGGTAATCCTGAAGTCATATTTCTTCTCTTCAAATCTTTTATGCCTTTGAAATTGAGATGACCAAGTTGATAATGCCATATCCATTCATCTCTACTGGCTGCAGTTGCAAGGCACTTATGCTCCATCACATTAAGTTCAATCTTAAAGGTCCTATTTTGAGACATTAGAGCCTTCAAGATTAACCTACCACCTGAGTCAAGAACTCTCATAATCTTGTCTTCAATCGACACCTTGTAGTTATTTTCGATCAACTATCCTATACTGAGCATATTACTCTTCATGCTTGGTATGTACCACACATTGGAAATTACTGACATCTTACCATCTTTCCTCATAATCAGAACATCGCCAATATATTCAGCTGCTAGAGTATTGTCATTTTCAAATTTCACCATATTCTTCATTGAGGGCTTCATGTTGACAAACCAATCTTTCCTTCCAGTCATGTGTGATGAGAATCTTGAGTCCAAGTACCACTGATCCTGGAACCTTTCTTCATCTCTTGTTGTGACCATCAGCAACATCTCTTCTTCTTCATGTTTCAGTAGCTTTTGCATCAATTTCTTGATTCTTCTTCTTTTCTAGACAATCACTAAAATAATGACCATACTTTTGACAATTGAAACACTGAATGAATGT